TGACACTGCTGTTATCTGGCCTCTCTTCCGCTCTGCTATGTGGCTTTGGGAGAGGCTACATAGAGCTTCATGCTTATCTGTGACAAACCTCCCCATCTGAGACTGTTTGCTTTCTTCTACTCATTCACTCACTCACTGTCTGTCTCCCTCCATCTGCCAGCCTCGCTCTCTCTCTCACTCTCTTTCTCCCTGTTATGGTCATTCCGCTTCTTTTATCTTGATTATCTGATCAAAACAATAGTATACAAGAGCTTTGGAAAACAAAAAATTGTGGCTTTGCAGCTGTACTAAGAGCTTCATTTTAGGGGAAGAGGAAAAAAAGACTATATCACTTGTCTGTGCTTTCACTTTAATTCCCATCAGCTTCAAAGGTAGGCAGAGAAGACATCTGGTAGAATTAAACTGCTAAAAATACTCTGAGTGGTAGACATCTTGCTGTAAAAGCCAGGAGACATCAAAGGTTTGCAGCAAGCATCTTCATGGGGGCGCAGTCCTTTGGATTTTAATGAAGCTTTCACGAGAGTCTGGGCTGCTGAGATTTAATAGCAAAAAATTAGTAGCTTCCTGTTTGACACAAATCCACTGGTTTCATATTGTCACTAAAGTGCTGTGGTGTACAAAAAAACATTCATTGTTGGTGAAATGTTTGAAGCAGCACTCTTCTTGTTATTTTTACCCTTCTGTTGGACTGACAAGAGCTTGACTGGCTTTTTTCCTTGCTGGATAATGCAATTTTGATGCTGCACAGGTGCAGACTGCACCTGCTGTCTCTGAGTGCTGCTCTTTCATTGGACCAGATGTATCGCGAAGCAGAATCTTGGCCAATCAGGCATTACTGAGTGTTGCCAAAAGCAACTTATGATCTGTGAGGAAGCGCATGTTAAACCGACTTCTGTGCCATTAGACCAAAACAACTAAGAGTAATGTGAGATTTAATTTCTGATTACAACACACAGTATGGCTATTTACTAACTAGCCAAATTTTAAATAAACAAAACTTTAAAAAAGCAACATTTGTACTATGTTAATGTGCTTGAAAGAAAAAAAAGAAAATATATAAGTGACTTAACTGAAGCAGAAAGTCCTCTAATTGAATAAGATGAACTGAAAGCAAACAGAGGAATCAGTGTCTTAAGCTCAAGACTGGCTGCCAAGCTGAAACCCATTTCCTTTTCCACAGAAGAGGCACAGTAGTTTGTTCTCTTGCCCCCTGAATCAGTGCCCTGCAAATTGGCACTTACAAAAAAGGATGTTTCTCTCCATTTGGTTGAATGGAGCAGTAAATGAATTTAAACAAACTGTTCCTTACAGAGAAACAATCTGTGGCCTTATAGTGGAAAGCTTTTCATCTTAATGAGTATTTTTTTTTTTTTTACTTTAAAGTGTATGGTGAATTTATTTACACATTTCAGTAAAGAATTAGTATTATTAGTAATCTAACCATATTAAAATAATAATATAATTATTAGCCAATCAGTGTTTTTGTTAGTTTTGTGTTTTGGTTTTGTTTTTTGTTAAATAAAATTAAATAAAATACCCTTAAAGGTCTTGTGAAGTGCTTTGAAACGTAAATTTTTACGTTATAGCTCTTTTTTTAAAATCAGTATCATTTCACTATTATCACAGCTCTGCCAGTTAAGCCGTGGTCTCACTAGAATGAGCTTGCAAAATTCTGTAATACGGCACTGCGAAAAGGGGTGGGATTAAACAAGATTACATTTTAAAAAATAAACGATTGGTCCATATTTAAAATTTCTGAACAGAGTGGCCATGTTTTGAACTTCGATTGGTCTCATGCTGCTATGCATCTCACCAAGCTTAAACTTTCCAATGCAGCTAACTGTGAAAAATGAGTTTGCATTTCCGATCCGCCACATTCTCATACAAACGAATAGGCTGAAAAAAGTAGTGTGACCACAAATTTAGAGTGGTTGAAATCAAGCACATTAAATGAAAAGAAAATGAAAAGTATCTTGAAGGAGGCGGGACGTGGCAGATACTAGAGAGCATTTGATTGGTCAGAAGATTTGATGAGAAAAAAGTATGAGATGATGCCAAGAAAATCGTTGATACATTTGGTAGAAGTGACAAACTAAAAGCTTTGGATGTTTTGATCTTCTAAATGCTCATTTGGTCACTGTTTTGGAACACTCTAGCTAATAGACGACCTTAAGACAGGGGTGTCCAAACTCTGTCGTGGAGGGCCAGTGTCCCAGAGAGTTTATCTCCAACTTGCTTCAACACATCTGCCAGGAAGCTTCTAGTATATCTAAGAGCTTGATTAGCTGGTTCAGGTGTGTTTCAGGTTCAGGGCAACACGGTGGCTGAGTGGTTAGCACTGTTACCTCAAAGCAAGACGGTGACTGGTTCGACTCCCGTCTGGGCCAGTTGACGTTTCTGTGAGGCGTTTGCATGTTCTCCCTGTGTTTGTGTAGCTTTCCTCCAGGTGCTCTGGTTTTCCCCACAGTAAAAAAGTGATGCGCTATAAGTAAATTGAATAAACTAAATTGTGATTGAGTGTGTATGGGTGTTTCCCAGTACTTTGTTGCAGCTGGAAGGGCATCCGCCATGTAAAACATATGCTGGATAAGTTGGTGGTTCATTGCGCTGCGGTGACCCCTGATGAATAAGGGACTAACCCGAAGGAAAATGAATGGATAAATTTTGAGATTTGCTCAAGCAGATTCCATTTATCAGGGCTATTAAATGAAATGAAATCCTCATTTTTTTTTTAAATGTAATGTATTAAATTACAGCAGATAACAAAAAAGACAAAATAAAATATCCCACATAAAATAATGCTGAAAAATCTCTCATTTCAAACAATTACCAATATATTGTGCACAAAGTTTTAATTTATATGTTTACAGTCCTTACCAAAATGAAATCTTTGTAAGCTTCAGAGAAAATAAACTTAACTATTATGTTAATATCTTCACACCACAGCAACCTTTGAACTAATGTACCAAACACTACCACACACATATAGGCAATATTCTTAATATATGCAGCACATTTTCCTGACTAACTGTGTCTCCCATTCAAGATAATGGCATGCTGTTCAGTATCTTGCTGGGAGGGTAATTAACACCATTCCTGCCTCCTTATTATCTCCGATGCAGAAGATTATAAAGACAAATGTGAGCGCAGTTTGCAGAAACGCAGAGTCATGCCTGCAGTGTCTTTGCACCCCATCAATGTCCTTGGAAGGCATCTGCATTGGACAGAATTTTGGCATGGCTGTGCCAAACATAACAAGCCATCAGGGATCATTTACTAACTTCCAGTGTCTTCCTTAGACCCTGGTGATTTCAGAAGAACTTCACTGTTTGTTCACCAAATACTCATGGATCATCTGATCAACTAAATCAGGGTTTCTGGAGGTTTCACCAAGTCAGATTTAAGACTTTTGAAGACCATTATGAATCAAATTTCAGACTTATACAGAGCAAAATGCTAAGGATTTGTTTTTCTTACGGTCTGGTTGGGTTAGTGGAAAAGATTTTAACATTTTATATACAGTTGAAGTCAGAGTTATTAGCCGCCCTATTTATTTATTTATTTTTTATTTTTTTACCAATTTCTGTTTCACTGCAAGAAGATGTTTCCAACACATTTCTAAACATAATAGTTTTAATAACTCATTTCTAATAACTGATTTATTTTATTTTATCTTTGCCATGATGACAGTACATAATTTTTCAAGACACTTCTATACAGCTTAAAGTGACATTTAAAGACTTAACTAGGTTAATTAAGTTAACTAGGCAGGTTAGGGTAATTAGGCAAGTTATTGTATATCAATGGTTTGTTCTGTAGACTATCGAAAACAAAAATAGTTTAAAGGGGCTGATAATATTGACCTTAAAATGTTTTTTTTTTAAATTGAAACTGCTTTTATTCTAGCTGAAATAAAACAAATAAGACTTTCTCCAGAAGAAAAAATATTATCAGACATACTGTGAAAATTTCCTTGCTCTATTAAACATCACTTCAAACATCAACATCATTTGGTTATTTCTTAGCCACGTTTTTAAATAATGTCAATATAAGCAAACTCGAGTTGTAATTTTTTTTTTTCAACAAAAAATTTAGCTTAATTTTTTTGAAACATAAGTTTTAAATACTATAAAAATACAACAATGGCGATGCGGTAGTGTAGTAGGTAGTGATGTCACCTCACAGCAAGAAGGTTGCTGGTTCAAGCCCCGGCTGGGTCAGTTGGCGTTTCTGTGTGGAGTTTGCATGTTCTCCCCATGTTCCCATGGATTTTCTCTGGGTGCTCCGGTTTCCCCCACAGTCCAAAGACATGTGGTACAGGTGAATTGGGTAGGCTAAATTGTCTGTAGTGTGAATGACTGTGTATGGATGTTTCCTAGAGATGGGTTGCAGCTGGAAGGGCATCTGCTGCGCAAAACATTTGCTGAATAAGTTGGCGGTTCATTCCGCTGTGGCGACCCCAGATTAATAAAGGGACTAAGCCGAAAATAAATGAATGTAAAATACAACAATAATTGACAATAAATAAATCATTAAAATGATAAATTACAACAGCCTGTAAATGTCACTGTTCGTACAGGTACTGTATATGGGTATAAACACAACTTAAAAAATGTTTTTGCAAAATTAAACTTTTGTTAAAAGTTTTACTGAAATGGATTGTTGGTGATTGGATGAGTGTCAGTCTGATTAGGTAACTTTATGCACATAAGAAAATGAAGACCTCTTTAAATGATTTAAGACCTATAACTGCCGACAACACAATATTTCAGTGAATTTAAGGTGACTTTTTAAGGCCTAAGATTTAGTTTTTGACTTTATAAGACCCTGCAGACACCCTATAAGTGGTCACCTAATAAAGTAACATTATTCGTATTATTCTTTCCACTGTTCCAGCAAATCTGACTATGCATATATGTCTCTTACTGATCAATGAAAAGTACCAGATGTTGAGGTGCAAGGTCATTTTCTTGACTAATGCACTTTCCTCAGTCTGAGTAGCATTGAAGGTCTTCACCAAACAATTGTCACATTTAAATGTTTACTCACGTTATTTTCAGCATTTTCTTCTAAACTCTTCAATTCTCCTTCCAGAATGGTTGGATCCTTTATCATGGCTCTTTACTGCCCCCCAGAGCCTATTGCTTCCTTTGGTAAACTAAGTAAAGATGAGAAGAAAGATTTAAGTACTCCAGACTACAAAATATTTACTCGAAGCACACTTTCCCAGTTATATGCAGATACATTTTGAAGGGAAAAGTATTATAGGAGAAGACTAAGTCGAAGGAAAATTAATCAATGACTGTATTAAAGGGGAGTTCACATAAGAATTCAACATGTAAGTGGTTCTTGTTCTGTTGAACACAAAAAGATGATTGAAACTTGTGGATAGTAAGTAAACAATGAAGGATTTTTTTTTTTAAACTACCTCTTTAACAGAAATCTAAAAAAATTACATCATTCCTTCTTGCTGCTTTATTTTAACAGATATAACAAAATAGGTTAATAAGAATATAAAATTAACCTATTTAAGCAATTAAAATGTCACTTTAAGCTGTATAAAAGTGTCTTGAAAAATATCAAGTCAAATATTATTTACTGTCATCATGACAAAGATAAAATAAATCAGTTATTAGAAATGAGTTATTAAAACTATTCTGGTTAGAAATGTGTTGAAGAAATCTTCTCTGCGTTAAACAGAAATTGGGGGAAAAATAAACAAGGGGCGAATATATCTGACTTCAACTGTATGTGTGTATGTGTGTGTGTGTGTGTGTGTGTGTGTGTGTGTGTGTGTGTGTGTGTGTGTGTGTGTGTGTATGTATGTATGTGTGTGTGTGTGTGTTAGTAAAAACGACTGCACAAAAGGCATGTTTTCGTTATTCAACTGTCGCTTCTTCTTTAAGATATCCTGTATGCCATGATAAATTGCCTTGGCTAAACTTCAGCTAACCTGACACATGGTTGCTCATCATGACTCATGGATCTTAGCAAGACAAATTGAGCCATGTGTAGCTTAGTCTTTTGTTAATGACTCACCAGACATTTTATTAGGTACTCTTTGCTTGTAACAGGTTGGATCCTTTTTTTTTTAAATGACAGCATGAAAATGTTTTCAGGCGACACTGTGGCTCAGTGGTTAGCACTGTCGCCTCACAGCAAAAAGGCCACTGGTTCGAGTCCCGGCTGGGTCAGTTTGGAATGTGGACTTTGCATGTTCTACCCGTGTCTACATGGGTTTCCTTTAAGTGTTCCGGTTTCCTTAACAGTCCAAAAACATGTGCTACAGGAGAATTGAATAAACTAAATTGGCCATAATGAATGAATGTGTATGGATGTTTCCCAGTACTGGGTTGCAGCTGGAAGGGTATCTGCTGTGTAAAACATATGCTGGATAGGTTGGCGGTTTATTCCGCTGTGGCAACCCCTATATGAATAAAGAGATTAAGCTGAATGAAAATAAATGAATGAATGTTTTTAGTTGAAACAGCCCAAACTTTGATTTCAATCTGGAAGTAGGCTTAAGCCTCGTCTGTGCAACCAGGGAATAGTTTTGTACAGAGTAATATGACAAAACACAAGCTGGCAGCTGATTTTTGATAAAGTCCACCACATCTCAAAGGTCCTCTATTTCCAACACGTTCTCTATTTCTATTCAACCCCATTTTAGGAGTCCCATCACAACCTTGTCATGGGCATCTCCAGACTTGAACCTCACTGAAAACCTAACATAAGCAAAGGGATTAAATAAACCAGAGTTGCTTGAATTTTGTTCACCAGGGTTAAAATTACCCAACAGCAATGTGAATGACTGATAAGCTGTAATAGGAAATCAAGGTTATTCCACTAAATACAGTTTATTAAAACTTTTCATTACTTTTGTAGTTTAAAAATAAACTTCATGAAATAAACTTTCTTTGCATTATTTATTATCTCATTATACATTCATTCAGGAGAAATGTTGAACTGATAGAGCCTTCATCAAACAACAGCACAAACAAAAGAAAGATATTTCAAAGATATTAATTTAACTAAAGGATAAATACAGTTTTACATTAAACACAATTAAATCACTCGCTGAACTCATGGAGAGCAATGAAAAAATGTACAAAATGTTAATTACTCACCATATCATTCTCACCCTTTTTGACTTTGTTCTATAAACACAACAGGTGATTTTGTCAGGATATGACAGTAGCTAAACGAGGATAAGACTGTCATCATTTAAAGTAAAAAGAGCATAAAAGTTATTTAATAATAGTCGTGCACCATATGCCAAATCTTCCCAAGGTTGTGTACACGTATTAAATCTAAACTTAAGTAATCCCACACGGAGCCATATCAACTATGAAGTAAATATGGCGCCAAACACCTCTGTTCACCGAAACAAGTGATGATGCGCCATTTTGTAGTCTTTTGTAGTTCATTTTTGTAGAATCTTTCAGAGAGGGATTGTAAAAAGTAGCAATATATTGCTTAAACGCCGACACTAAACGACGTTAAATTCTGTAGCCTACCAGTGGCAGTGCTATTTTGTTTTCTGCCCTATATTACTGTCTACCACCAGATGTCAGACTTGACTTGATTCACACATTTCCGTCACTTGGTAATTCAACTTAAAATTTAGAAATTAAAGTCAGCCAACCACATAATTAATAGCATTTTACCTTTCTTAGTTTATATTGTCAAAAACCCTCAAATATAAAGTTACCTTAAAATAAAAAAATACACAAAATGGCATAGATAATTGCATAACCTCATAAAATAGGCCTAAAATATTTGTATGCATATTTTAATATTAAAAATTAAAAATAATAACCATATTTGATTCGGTAAAGAACATTTTAACAATCTAAATAATGGATGAAAATAATGAAGGAAGCATTTGTGCCAATAAACCATTTAAGGGTGCATGCTTACACTCAGATAGAATAGAATAAATACAAAAGCCTTACAAGTTCAGTCACTTCCACGGATATTAAAGCTTGAAAATGTTTCTTATGTCTATAAAGTTTGTAAAGCTCTGACTTATGCAATGCACAGGCAGATCTGCAGACCTCCAGAGGTGGGCAGTGTGCTGAGGACTGAGGTGAAGATGAGGAACAATGTCATTATGTCACTGGATTATTTAATCAAAAGAACACAATGTTTAGACACTTTCAATTCCAGTCACACTCTTGGAAATTACTGTGAAAATAAACCTTTAGTAAGGAACTACTGCACATTAAGTCTTGTTAAGAGAAAATGTCTGGCTTTGTATTCATCACACATGCAATTGCACATCCTTCATTCTGTGCCAAAATCCATTATGGTTTAATGGCAAATGAAAATTCAGAGCGATAATGTCAAGCACGTTAGAAATCCCTAAAAAATTTGTTTAATTTTTTGTCGTTTAGCATTTGTGTAATATTCTTATGTCCAAAGGCCACAACTACTGATTACCATCTAGCTAGGCTCATAACACAGCATTTCCTTGCTTGAAAGCAATCAGTGGCTCACACTTGGACTGTTGATTGATTTTCTTCTTTGAAACAGTGAGCAATGACCAACCAATCTATTGCTCACACTATTTCCGAGAGAAAAGCTTCCCTCATTGTGAGATGGCATTCAGGAAAATGGCTTGAATAAAACCCCATGGACAAAAACAGCAATACACACAAACAATTATGTGTACATTTTGTCAGCTGCTGTTTCAGGTTTCATGGTGTTTATAAACCATTTAAAGGTCAATACTATTAGCCCCCTTGCTCAATATGCTTTTTCAGTTGTCTCCAGAACAAATCATTGTTATACAATGACTTCCCTAATTATCATAACTTCCCTATAATTAACCTAATTAAACTAGTTAAATCTTTAAATGTCACTTTAAGCTGAAAAATAGTATCTTGAAAAATGGTAAAATATACTGTCATCATGGCAAAGATAAAAAAAAATCTGTTATTAGAAATGACTTATTAAAACTATTATGTTTATAAATGTGTTGAAAATTAAAATCTTGGTTCTTTTAAACAGAAATTGCATACAAAATATAAAATAATTTTAATTTAACAGCTAATAATTCTGACTTCAACTGTGTATTTACATGAGCCACAACATTTAAACAACCACATATTGGTGTTATTCATCCTCAATAGCAAACAATCGATGAAGACTTTCAGGTAAAATGATATGTCCTGAGAGCGATTTGCATAACCCATCATCATGCGAAATGTGCACCGCAGGAACAGCATCCCATTAGCTTCTATTCTTACTACCTTCTATGTGCAAAACATCCCATCAGAACTGTTTCTTCTGATTTATTTTTCTTGTTGTTATGGCAACTCTGCACCCAGAAAGTACACTATTAGTCATTTCTGTCAAGAGGTATCCGTGGCATGTTTAACCAATGTCCACATCTTATATGCTTTCAAGCATCATTTAAATATGCAAGGACCATTGGCATTGGATACTGCTTCTTGTCAAGAGAATCACTGGACGTTGTTGGTGGTGTTTTAAACAAATGTCAGAAGGAAATTCTATATTTGTAGATGAAAAAAATTGTCATCATTTTCTCACGTTAACTTGTTTACAAAAAGTTTGAGTTTCTATGTTAAACATGAAGGTATATATACAGATGAAAGATGAATGTTGTAAACTGATAACCTTTGACTTCCATGCCCACATAGTAAAATATTTGTGGCCCACACAATCAGCTTTTGCTTGGCCCACATGCTGCCGTGAATTACAGTACATGACTGGACAAAGTCTGGCTTCCATACAAGGGCCAAACATGTACCAAATCTGGGCCAAGTCTCAGCCTGGTTAATAACCCCATAACTGAGCCTGAACTGGACCAGACATGTTGGTGTGTCACGATTGCAATGAAATTGATCAACTCATGAATTATTGTGCTTTAGGCGTGCTATGGGTGTGTTTTTCTCAAAGCACCCTGATTGGTAGTATTTATTTTGTGTTATTATTACATGGCCCACGTATAAATTGTTAACATCTGGGCCAAAGACTACCTTATTCATCTGGCACAAGTATTGTGTGCTGCATTAAAGATGGTGCCGCCTTTGTCAAACCAGGGCCATGTTTAGCCCACTGTATGCCAGTGCCGGATGAATGCCTGCTGTGCCAGATTTATGGCAAATCTGGACCAGAATTCTTTGCTAACTG